GGGGGGGGGGTGTCTTCCTTCTGAGCCAGAAGCTTGGAAAACAAGGGTTGTTCCCTGCAGTTTTAGCAGCAAAAGGTGGAGTTGTGATGGCAGCAAATTCCTGCAGACAGCACCCATCCCTGGGAAGGACACCCAGCACACCTGTCTGCCACTCCTCAGCCTTGCTACATGTGGATATCTGGGGGACAGTTTTCACGGACGAATCTTTGTCTCCAGCTGTATTTTGTCTGAAAAACTCAGCACAAGTATTTCAGCTTTTTTTTTTTTTCCCCAGCAAGATTATATTAAGCACAAATATAACTATTTGAAACAGCCTGAAATAAGGCAAGACCTGTCTCTGTTAGGTGAGTTGATATTTCATAAAGATCAGTGTAAATCTGGGAATCTTCTCTTGAATGCACTACTGTATGGAGCGAAACAGCTCTCCAAGAGCAGCAAAATCTATTTTTGGTGAGCCTGTGAGTCAGTCCCAATGCTTGACAGGACTGTGCAGGAGCCAACCTGCACTGCAGAGATTAAACAGGACATTACCTGAAGTGATGTCCCCTACAAGGGGCAGCAAAGGGCTCTGCTCCCCCCAAACCCTTGGAGAGGCTGCTCAGCCTGAGCAGGAGTGAGGAGGACACTGCTGACCCTGCCCCACCAGCAAACAGCTCCCTAGCACCTGCGGGAAGGGCTGTGCTGGGCATCCCAGTTCAGCAGCTCTGAGATCCCGCCCTGGGAAATTCTGATTCCTTTCTCCAGTGCTTTGTTGAAAATCGAGTCCACGGCCTGTGTATAACCCTCTGTTTTCTGTGCCCCCTTCACCACAGAGAGACAACTTCCATACCTCAGGTCAAGCACTTCTTTGGGAAGAGGAGAGTTCAGGATTTTCACACAGCTGCAATTTTCCCTCTGCACATGCAGTATTTCAGTCTGTAGTGGGGAAACCCTTTTTGCACATTAAGCATGCAGCTTCTCAGTATTTGGTTAAATCCTCATCACCTGATGGCAGATCTGCTCAGAAGAGCACACTTCTAAAATGTCTTCAGTCCCTTTATGACATCACCACTACAAAAACACCCTTAAAAACCCCCTTATTTTCAGTGCTGGCCTAAGGGACAGCTGTGCTCCGTGCTTCCTAAATGAGAACTCGAGGCACAGGAGGATGAAGGTCAAGGTAAGGCTGTTTTGGTGTCCAAGCTGAGCTGTCTGGGATTACACTTTTTATAAAGCACTTCATTTTGCAGATCACATTACCATTAAAAGCTGCAGCCCTGACTCCAGTTTGCAGCTGTACATGACTCTTCTAGAACCACACAGGGATTATCTGGCGAAGCAAAGGGCAGAATTTAATTCCGTGGCGCAGAAACTTGGACTTGTGGAATGTTCCTCTTGTTTTCTGTGAACCCTCCAGTTGCTACAACAGCTTCCTTCAATCCCTCACCTTCATCCTCGGGGCACTGGTGACGGGGGGAAGGAGTCTTGCAGTGAAACAGCACGGAACAGCGTAATTAAAAATCCAATCCCAACATACACAGAGCAAAGGGGGCAAGCTGCAGCTGCAAAGGCAATGCTAATTCCCCCAGAGCCCAGCTGAGCCTCCATTCCCTGGTTTCTTTTGACATGAGGCTTTGCACAAGCGCCTGTGCCCCCCACTGAGGAGGAAACAAGAGGGGCAGGGTGAGGTCTGACACGGTGGAATTAAAATGGGATGCAGGAGAAGTGAGAGAAGTTGCAATGAGGCAACTGTAAGTCGTGATTAGCACTCAAGGGAAGCTCCAAGTCTCACTTGTTCCGTTGCCAGCAGCATTAGGGCGTATTCTGACACAGGAAGATGCTGGGAAGAAACTTTGGGGACCTGCTGGCAATTTGGATGCGAGGAGAGCTCGTCTGCTGAGGCTGCAGGTCAGGCTGCCAGGGTAAAGGAGCCAGAGCAGCAAACGGGATGCTGCTGAAAACCCAGGCAGGACTGCTGAGGAGTCACTTCCAGGTGGGATTAGAGGAGGAAATGGGAATTTCAGTTAGTGCACAACACTTGTGAAAGTCTCATCCTGGACAGCTTGAACTGGAAGGTTCAAGTGGGAGAGCACCTGGGAGTTGTGACTGTTTTAGAGTTCAGCAGAGCGTGTTAGGGAGGGGGACATGAGAGCCCCACTCCTCAGGACCTGGCTCTGGTGCTTTAGTTACCCTTTGTCTTGTGTAAATAACAAACCCCATGCCTGTGATGCTGGGACACCTCATCTGCCCAGGCTGGAGCAGAGAGGAGTCTTTGCAGAGCATCCTGTGGTTCTGTGGCCCCAGAGGATCAAAGCTCAGACTGTTGTCCAAGATTGGTGAATCTGTTCCAGAGCTCCTCCAGAGAGCATCCAAGGTCAGCAGGGAATTAGAGGATGGGCTATCCTGTCTGGAAACACCACTTTAACCACAGTGCTGGGGAAGAGCAGGATTAACCTGTATGTCACAGTGTGGAAGAGAGCACAGGTAAGGAACACCTCCACCTGGGTATTTTTCCTGAACCTCATCCACGTGCCAGCTCCCAGCGCTTTTTGAACACCTCTGTATGTTTTGATCAGCATCCAGAGGACTCAAATGCTCCGAGAGACCTTTATTTCCTCAGGACACCAGAAAGATGCAGCTTCAGAAGGAATATGGGAAGCCTAATGTGGCAGTGAACAGGGCAGGGCTGTGACCAGCTATGCCAGGAAATGTTGGGAAACATGGAATGCACCTGAAGGAGGTACCTGCTCTAAAATCCAAGTGCAGAACTGGCTGAAGAGCTGCTGGGACACACAGGCCAGGTTTCCTCTGACCACCCTCCAGGAGATGGTACTTTAAAAACCTGGGATACCAGTTTCTTACAGTTCTTTTGGGTTTGTTTTCTTCCTGTGCCCCCTCCCCGCCATGTCTCACTCCATCCTCCAGGATAACCAGCTCAGACTGCTGACAGCAGCATGAGGAGGGGATGGGAGACTTGCAGGCACCTGGGATTTCCTAAGTGAAATCTTTGGCAAGTGTGCCTTTTTATTATTTATTTCCCTATTTCTAATTCCACCCCCCTCAAGCTGTCATTCCTTAGCAGTGCAAATGAAAAGCTGCCATCCATGGGTGTGCAACAATGGAAGGCTCTGCAGGCCACATGGCTCCTGCAGTTTAATTTACTTTAATTCATTTTATATTGAACCAAATGATCTTATTTGCCTGTTTTTTTTTTTTAATGGAGAGCAGGGTTGGGAGCCAAGCCCCCCTTCCAAAGAAATGATGAGCCCAGCTGAAATTAAACCTTGAACTTGGCTTCACGTGCCCATCAGCTCGGGGGGGTGGAAGGGACACCTTTAGCCACAGGTTTGATCCTTCTCCTGCCAACTCCACTGACCCCAGAGGGGTGAGATCAGTCCTTTTCCTGATTTTCTCTCCCATTCCCCAGCTCTTCCTTCCCTGCTTTCCAGCCTGACTGCAGCCTCACAGCCCCCCTTGGCACCTCTGTTTTCCAGGCTGCTTTGGATTATTTTGTCTGGGATTATTTTGTCAAGTTTTCAGTCTTCCCTCGTTCTCTGGGGGAGTTTTTTGCACAGATATTCCACTTTTGAGTTATTCAAGCCTGGAGAACTCTGGCTATTTGTACCCTATATATAATATATAATATATCAGTTCTCATGCCTCACACTCCAAGCACTGCTGGTCATGTTTATTGCCCTCTGTGTTCTGATGGCAAAGACAACCTTATTTTTCTGCTTTCCAGTATTAGTTTGCTTTCTCTCAGTCAAAGCATAAACTGATGCTGTAAATCCAAATGTTATCCCACACCAAAAGCTGCCCTTCCTGGGATGGGCCATGCTAGGAATACATGAGCCAGATACTTCAGGGGGGCAGAACTGAGAGCTCCAGCCCAAATTTTGTATGTGTTCACTGTCAAAATGCATCTGAGGTAAGCAGAGTTTAGTGCTATTCACTGTTTTCATCAATGACCTTGATGGGACAGAGTGGGTTTATCAAACCTACAGCTGACACTCAACTGGGGAAGGCTGTAAATGCAACAGGAGGAAGGATTATAATCCAAACTCATCCTGACAGGCTGGAGAAATGCTCTGGAAAACAGGGAGGGATGAAGACAGTCCAGAAGAGAATAATGAGATCTGGAGTTAAAAATCTATGAGAAAAGACTCAAAAAAGTGGTGGTGCTCAGTCTCCAGAGAAGACTGAGGGGAGAAAGGAAGACTAAGAGAAAGAACAGAATCTGATCTTGCTCCAATCCCAATGGATATGGAGAGGCGAGAGACTTAAAAGAAGGATATTCAGAGGAGATGCCTGGCACCAGTGAAGAGCACCCAGCCTTCAGACAAGACCAGAACCTCAAGGAGCAGCATGAAAAGCCAGACTGGCTTTGGAGGTGCCTTTGAACCCCCAAAATGAGGAAAAATCCGAAGAGCCTGCTCAGAGGTTGAGAGCACAATGATCAAAGTTCCTCACATCCCATCCCTGGACAAGCTTTGTGATTGCTGCTGACTGCCAGGTCTGCAAGGAATGAAATCCCTGTGTCCCACTCACAGCTGGGCTGAACTGCACCCCTGGCAGTGCCTCAGCTTCCACTGCAGGCCCTGCACTAGGGGGGCTGTTCTGGCTGGTTACACTGGCACAGAAATTCTCACTTTGTATATCTTGAACAAAATCTCCCTTTGCTCTAATTTAATTTATATTTCTCCAGCAGCAGGATAGCACTGAGTGACAGCCACCCCCAAGCTGGGCTCAAAGCAGCAGCTGTCCCAGGAGCACACGGGGAGGACGAGAAGAACTTTGTATCTGGCAGGTGTTTGGGTGTTTTGGGGGTAGCAGTCCCAGCTGCTGGGGTGTCCTGGGGCTCTGCTGGAGCTCCCCCACCCCACGGTGGTCTTGCTCAATTGGTTACACCAGCTCTCACCCCTGGTGGGCTTAAGGGTGCAGTGCAGAGTGTGTGAGGGGGAAATGAAGATTTGTGGTGGGAGGGAGCAGCAGTTTGGGATGTCAGGAGACACCGAGCCCGTCAGCAACATCCTGGGACAAAAAAGGGGCTTGGAGAAATTGGGGAATGTTGCTATCCAGAGAAAGGTATTAAAAACGAAGCATCTGTGCTCTGAGTCATTACAGGCCCCTGGCAGATGTGATCTTACCAGCCTCCCCCTGTAGCTGCAAATAAAGAGCCCTTCCCTTTCTTCTCTCCAGACAAGGATTAATGAGTACTTGGGAGAGCTCTCAGACAGGCAAGCAAAGGCTGTGAACCTTTTCCAACACTGCAATTTATCTTGGGGAGACTATTCACATCAGTTTTCCCTCCCTCCCCAGGCTGGATTATGCTCTGACCCACCACATTAATCTCCCAAAATATAATAATAATAATAGAAGAAGGAAAAAAAAAAAAGTTGGACAATTGCCAGAAATAAATTAATAACCATCTCAAATAGCCCTGCTGTGCAGGAACAAACTGCTCAACTCCCCTGCCACCCCTGTCATTTCTGAGCAAAACTATTCCCAGTGTAGATATCCCCCTAAGTGCCCTGCCTGAGACTTTCCAGGGATTAATCTATATAGTGCCTTTCATCCCAACAGCTGCCAGAAAGTTCCTTTACTGAGTGCAAATAATCCACATTGCTGTGTTTGCCACTGACATGGAGAGGCTACCAAGTGGATAAAGAGGCAGTACAACAGATCTGTACAAGTAAACAATTATTAAAAGGTATATTTTAAGGGAGAGAATGTAGTGAGGAAGTTTCAAAAGTCAGGCCTAGTCTATGTATAACTTCATAATAATTTAAATATGTGAAGCATTAAAATATTTCCTCACCCATGGTTAGTTAGAAGTGGTGCTGTCTTTTGTGGCACCATTAGCTTCAATTTAATCCTATTACTGCTTTGACCCAGGTGGAAAGCCAAAGACACAAGCACCAAACCCTTGCTCAGGTCTGTGATGGCTCAAAACCCAAACCTTGATACCCAAGTGCCAAAGTTTTAGGAAGAGATTTCTTTATTTTTATTCTTCCATTCATATTTGGCCCTGGCCCAGGCTGCCCAGAGAAGCTGTGGCTGCCCCTGGATCCCTGGAAGTGTCCAAGGCCAGCTTGGATAAACTTGGAGCAAGCTGGGCTGGTGGGAGGTGTCCCTGCCCACGGCAGGGGGTGGGACTGGATGGGTTTTAAGGTCCTTCCAACCCAACCCATTCCGGGATTCTGGGACTTCACGCTGCAAACGTGTCCTAAAGGTATCAGATTATCAAAGATAAGTATTTGTACATCAAGAGGAGGCTCCTACCTTGGACTTGACAGCCAGGATGATCTTGGGCAGGGCCACCACGAGGCATTTCAGGGCGATGGTGAGGTACTTGAGCACAAAGTCTGCAATGCCCACGATCCACATCAGGTCGAAGAAGTCCAGCCTCTCCAGGTTGGGCTTCAGAAATATCAGGCTGAAAGGCACGAGACACCAATGCTCAAACACCAGGGAGAACCTCACCCAGGCTTCTGGTGTCCACTGGTGGCCAGAGCAAGCCTCCAAAGTGCCCTGAGCTGCAGGGGAGTTCCCGAGGGCAGGAGGAGCCAGACATGCAAATCAGTGCCCTGGTGCCTCCGGGCCTCTCGGCTTTGCTCTTGCCCATTTCTGCTGAGGCCAGCAGGTTTGCCCACTGTCACCAAACAGGGCCCAAACCTGGTCTGGGAGGCTACAATCTCCACAACCTGCACTCCACGCTGCAACAGAGCCTTCAGTGTGCAGGCAGTGCCTTCAGCTCCACCTGATTCTGTGACCTGAATGCAAAACCTCACCCTGTGAAGTCCCTACTCAACATCTGCTCTTTGAAACAAGTGCAGTGTGGGGCAGCAGAATCCCACACGGCAATGGGCAGCAGCCACTGACCTGAGCAGCAATGAGGACTGCCCCCTACTCAGGCTGAAGGACCAGGATTCATCTGCAGGGTGTTCAGCTAAGAAAGCCTCGTGGTAGAAAGCAAACACTTAACGAAAAAAAAAATAAATAAAGTAAAATAACCAACCCAAAATGAAAGGCCTGAACATGAATTTAAAATACTCACAACACTGGCACAGCACAACAGGTAAAATTACACCCTAAAAACAGAAACAGAATCAGAGGCTTTACTACTATTCGTGCACTAGAAACAGTAAATAAACAAAACCACTAGAAATAAATAAATAAACCAGGAAATGAAAAACGAGCCAGAAAGAAACAAACATGAAGCAGCTATTTCTAATTTGGCAAGCCTGCCCTGTGAATAGTCCCAGGTCCCCACACAGCAGGCAGCAGATGCACCAGCTCAAGCATTCCACAGCAGCACCCACAGGAACAGGGCTTTTCCATGGAAATGTGACCCAGCCTGTCCACTGGTAACAAGCCATGCCCTAAACTGTCTGCAGGGATACCAGGGTTATGGGCAGGCCTTGGCTCTTCCCACAGACAGTACAGTTGGGAAGAAGCAGGGAAGCAGTGAAATAACTGGCAGAGAAACCAAACCCAAGAGCTGTGTGGCCACAACCCAACTGATGCACGTTGTATTTTCAGCCTCAAGTCCTAAATCCCCTTCAGTGGGATGAAGAAAATTCTAATAAGGGAGATAATTCATATGGTTTTAGCTACTAATATCAAAACTACTTTCTAACTACCAATACTTGAATTACTTTCAAACTGTTATGTTGTTCCATTTCTTCCTATTTATTCTATTAACATCTCCTTGCTTAAGTTTTGTATCTTTGCTTCCTGGTTGTCACAGTTCCTACATACTTTATAATAAGCAGGGATAGTATTGAACCAAACCCATTGGTACAAACTTTTCTGTCCTTGAGAACTGCTTTAGTGAGAATCTGAAAGGCAAGGATATCTTAATTATCTCAGATTACCTCAGATCCCAGTGCCTCCAAGCCCTGAGGACACTGAAGTAAAACACTGCTGTTTTATCTCCTGTCCTGGACTCAAAGCTTGACAGACTGAAAACACTGTAGAAAGAGGAAAATCAGTGGCTCTGTGCTTTACCTGCCTCTGACACCTGCTCTGTGTGGAAATTCAGAGGTGCCTCTCAGAAAGGATCCACCCTGCTCTGAAACACGTGGTGTGCCATCACACCCCATTTACACCCTGGCTGTGCCATTTATGGCAGAAATGACACACATCCTTCTCCTGCACTGAGAGGTATCACAAAGATGAAGCCAAGACAGCAGGTGCTTCAGGCGTGAACACCAGTGAGGGGAACAGTGGGCCTCCCTCTTCTCCTCCCTGAGCAATTATCACCTGCTTCCACACGGAGCACGGGAATGCTGCCCACCTGTTGTAGAGCTGCTGGGAGCTGAAGGTGTAAAGCAAGTACAAGGTGTTCCCAGTGAGAAAGGCCAGGATCCAGAACACAACCAGCACTGATCTCTTCTCCTGGGCAAGAGAAAGAAGCAGAGGAGACAAATTGGAAGTCTCAGGGGTTGTGCTGAGGCTTCAGCTGCTGAAAAACTCAAGGCCCATCCCAGGGGACAGGAATATGTATTTAAGTGTTCAGTAATTAGTTTATTTACACAGGACTAAGGCCCAGAAGCAGGCTGCCAGGTAAGGACATACATAAACACAGGCAGAAATGGCTCTCACACAGCAAACCTTTCAAATAAAGTAACTTCAGGGAAATGAATTGAAATATGCTGGGGAAGGTGACAGCCTTCCTTGCAGAATGCAATCTGCAAAGTTGGGATCTTTCCTGGGGCATCTAAACTCTCCTGGTATTTAAAACTCGGTGTGACAAGCAGATTAGGAAAAAAAAAAAAAAGTCAGTTCCATATATTGTCCTAATTCTGAGCTGGCACCTGGTTGGAGTGACACTTCAGCAAAGGGGGGGTTATAAATAGATCCAAAGTCACTCAGAGGAAGGCTCAGCTAAACCAAATACAACCCATCACGACCTGCAGCACACCTGAGTGTCATGGAGGTTCTAGAACATGCATTTTTTCATTGGGGAAATGACTGAAGGCCAAAAAAAAGTGCAAATGTTGCATTTCAAAATAGCTGGAACATTACAGACAGAAGCTGGATGGCAGAAGATCCTGTCCTGGGTCTTGGCCCAGGGGTAATTCTGAAGAGTAAATTTTACTCCTGGGAGGAAAACACCCACCATTTTTCTTGCGAGCTGATTTATTAAGGAAATAGATCTCTGCAGGGATGTTAGGCTGAGATTTAAAGCAGGGGGATGAAGGGGCACACTGCTGGAAGGAGAGGGGTGCAAAGTGCAAGGTAAACAGCCATCTATTACATGGCTGTGCAATTCATCTCTTCATTCAGCTTTGTAGCACATTTATTCCACTGCTGCTGGTAGATACAAGTGCACACTTGTGCCACCCCTGTAATTTTAATAAAAAAGGGATTCTAGTCTTGTGCTTTTAGTGCTGTTGAACTGTTCTCCTGACACTGAAGATCACGAGGCCTGGAAAGGTCTGCTGGTTTCTGCATGTTCCTAACAGAGCATTATAAAGATGCAAACAAGCAACACATCTACAAAATGTTTCAGCTAAACATCCCAAAACATGATCTAAATGCTGATGAGTTAAATCTCATCATTAACAAGTCAAATAGCTTTCAGCACCTCTGCTGAAATGGGGAAGCCAAGGTGCAGAGAAGTGCTGGAAGAGGCACTGGCAGTCAGTGGCACGGGGAGATGCAGATTACAACACCCCTGACCTGTCCTCTCTTTGTTTACTGTGTCCACATTCACCAAAAAATAGGGTAGAAACAGCGGGAGAGCATCAGTGTGGAGAGGTAGGGAGGGGAAGGCGGGATTAGGGCACAGTACTCTTGTCCTGACAGATCTGTGCCCATATAAGTGCATTCAGCTCTACAGTGCAGAAGGAGGTTTAACACAGGTGCTGTTTTGTGCACAGAGAGTGATGATTCCCGGGGATAAAAGGAGGTGAAACACTGGACTCACCTTCAGAGCGACCTGCTCTCGGAGCGTGGAGTTGGCGTAGGCGAAGGTGCTGGCCATGCCAATGCACACAGCAATCCCTGCAGGAGAGGCACTGTCAGAGCTCAGCCCTGAGCCAGGGACAGCAGCATCTCAAGCTCAGGAAGAACATCACTGGGTGCCACTCTGGGTGCACTGGGAATTTCAGTGTACAGGTGACTAAACCAGGGCAGTCTGGGCTCTGTATTCCACGTGCAGTGTACATGAAGATGAAGCACTGCAGTGAGCACCCAGCACAGCACACACACTCTGCCCTAAGGTCCTGAAGGAGAACACAAGTGCTCGTGGCTGCACTGTGCCAGCTGACAGTGTGACAACAGCAGCTCATGGAGGGCAGGGCACACTATCAAAAACCTACAGGGTAGCAGGTCCAAAGGCCAAGATGTTGCAGACACGAATTAACCAAATCCCTGTCAGAGTTGTAAGTGGACTAACCTGAAGCATTCCTGGTTTCCCAGTGCTGATAATCTCAGAATGAGTCAGATCCTCAGACATGCCACACACATACAATGTAATGTGCTAAAATACTCAGGCACCATTAAACATAAAACCTGGACAGACATATTCTTCAGGGAACTCTGAAGGTCTCAGCTGCAAAATGTAACTGCTGATGTTTGACTTGATTTCACAGCTACCACCCTACCAGCTAGACAAGTGTCCCATCCCTCAGAACCCTTCAGTGCTCCACATAAACCTCTGCTAGTCACCAGTGTAAGCTCTGCCCACCTCTCCTAGAGGGAGAAGCCTTGGGAACATCCTCAGCTCACAGGAATGTGAAGGGAAGATCAGCAAAAGGAACAGAATTGGGCAGGATAGCAAACATTTCCATAGTACTAAACTACCTGCAGATACTCTGCTGGGTGTACCAACTGCTGTTCAGCTGAGGGCCTGCAGAGCAGGGAGCTGGTGAAGGTACTTTCAAGCTCTGTTAACAAATACTGCCTCTGGAGAAGTGACAAGCTGCAAGTGTTTGCTGTCTGCTTTCAATACTTTTCTGCACCACACTCACTGGACTCGTCAGCGTTCAGTTTTAACTGGTGCCATCAAAATTCTTAGGGCAAGTGTAATTAAGTACACTATCCCCATTTGCAGGCAGGCATCAAGCATTTTTTTCTGCTGGTTTAAATATTTTTAGAACGGCCTGGAGTGAAAGTAGGGTGAATTCATCACACGCATTTGAGTATGTCCCCTTTGTGCCAGACTACACCTGGCCACCGTCACACGGATAAATATATGGGACACCTCAGCCTGATAAAGCCTCTAAGAGGATTCTAAAAGGATGGGTGCTTACCAAGCTTGTGCTGGAAACAAACTTTAGCCAGCAGGATCAAGATGAAGGGAAGGCCCTTCTGCAGCCACCCAATGACAGCCTTTAGCTCCGAGAGGGCGGGGGCCGGGGTGCCGCCCTGCTCCTCCGCGCCCTCCTCGGCGTGGCCGTGCCGGTCGCCCCCGGCCATGTGCAGCAGGGACGAGCCGCGGTGGTGGCCGTGGTGGAAGTGGTGGGAGGGCTGGCGGTGGTGGAACGGGGCTCCCTCGGCGCGGCCGGCGCCCTCCTCCCGCGGGGCCGGCATCTGGATGAACACCTCGCCGCCTCCTGCCGAGGAGCCCAGCACCAATCCCGACTGGAACGGCGCGGCTGTGAGCGCGCCCGATGGGATGCCGGCCAGCCCCGAGAACAGCTGCTGCGGGGAGGAGGCCTCGGCCTTGAGGCTCTCGAACACCCCACCTTCATCCACGCTGGTCTCCGAGCTGACCGTCTGGCTCCGGTTCCTGCAGAGGGAACGGCAGCAAAGCCATTAAATACGGAGTGACACGGAACGTCACGGGCTTTTCTAGAGAGATGTTCAGTGCTCCTCACGCGCTTTGAGAACACGGAGGTCTCCAGGTTGTAATAGAAGGGTTAACTTTGTTCATAAAATCTTATGTGTATGAGGAAATAAGGAACTTTTGTTATAATTCAACAAGATAAGTTTCATGGACATCCTGTTAATTAAGCAAGTGTCAGTAAAAATAATTGCAGACATCTTGCTAAACAAACAAGTATCAGTATTGGTAAAATTTACAGCTGATAAGAACTGCAGCTTTCATCTTTGACAAATCCCAGATGACCACTTAGCAATGAACCACGAACTCGAGCCTCAACGCAGCCGCATTCAAAACTCGGGACTTGGAAATGTATAAAAAGGAACATTTACTACATTTTCAGTGTGTGTGTCTCGGGCGGGGCAACTGCCCCCCAGGCCCCCCAGCGCTGTTTGCTTTATTATTGCAATGTTTAATTGGAATTGAGTTGTCTAAACTCTTATACTAACTTATAAGACAGGTGACAGATGCTTTTCCCTCCATGAGCTGTTGGACAGTCACAGCTGCAGAACTGGAGGCCAGTGACCAGACTCACAAGATCAGAGAACCTCTACAGACCTGACCAACATGCACCGGAACAAGCTTCTTAAACATCTCACTGGAGGAACCAAACAAATTACACATCCAATACCAAACTCAACATCACCTACACTGACTTGAGTATTTAAAGAACAAAATTCCCAAACACTCCTTGGACTTTTAGAGGAACCAAAGAAATGACACCAATACCAAATGCAACATCATCTACACTGACTTTAGTATTTAAAGAAAAACATATAAAACCCTCTGGAAGCTGACACAATAAGACAGGTCATATTGCATACAAACAAATGAACAAAGCTGACTCAAAGCTAACCCCAAAACCTTTTGCCTTTATTGAGGGTCGATCACTGTCTACCCAGTGATGAACTGCACGAACAAGGGACACAATCAGCTGGGGAAGAGAAGATCGTGTGTCCCTGAACTAAGAAAGGAGGTGCTCATGGGTCAAGAGAAATTCTTGTGTTTTGATACTCCTGGCAAATTAGACGTGGATGTGCCCAAATTTCTGGGCACTGAAGAGAATTAGTTCTGGCACTGATCCTTTCCAGATTCCAAAAAGCCTCAACAGCTTCCTCCTAACACCAAAAGGCTTCCTTCACCTGAAGTCAACACTGTGGTACTGAGATGAATACAAAGCAAGTTTAGATGGCAGGGAACAATCCAGGTAACAAGCAGAACCATCACTAGGCAGTAAATGCCTGGCAGACGGCAAATAGCTCTTTAAATTGCAAAAGGAGAGTAAAGAATAAATAAGCTCAGCAAGAGGCCGAGCCCACAAATTAAGGCAAGTTGCAGGGCTTTGGTCTCTCTTGATTTTAAGCCCTGGAGGTCTCCAGCTTTAGAAACAGTGATCACAAGCTGAGACAGCACGTGCAGACACATACAGGGCCCTCACCCTCTCATCCTCAAGGGCTCAAAGGCCTCCCCAGGCCCCTTGCAAGGCACAGAGCACTGCCTTTCCCCTCGCTCTGGGGACAGCTTCAAACTCCCTGGGCACACCTTCCCACCAGGCAAGCTCCTAATAAGGCTTTTTACAGCTACACTCTGTTCCCATCGCCCCTCCACTGGCTCAAGTCAACAAGACGTGGCACACCCCTTCTGGTTCGAAACATTCACCAACCACCTCTCGGATTTTACACTTCAGATTCCAATCCAGGGATGGATCCACAGCACAGGGGACAGAACGTGACAGTACTTGGGTCTGGGAACACAAACAAACAGACGGGGTGGAACCCAGAGTTACAAACAAAGGCACAACTATTGTTTGGAATAAGACACCAGGAGACATGGCTGCGCTTTCAGCAGGAAGGAATTCATCTGGGACATGTTTAAAAACAAACAAGGATGAAATTGTGAGCCTGCTGCTGAAGTTAACCAGAAGGGAAGACCAGTGGCAACAGCATTTCGTTCTACTTTTAGAAACCTTCAGCCTCTCTGATGACATGTACTTAACCTGTTAAAACCCAGTATTTATAAAAGCCAGCTGACATTACTCTGCTTATCTTTTGCACTCAGGAACAGACACACATCCTGAATATGTTTTGACTGTTCCAACAGGTCCTGAAGTGTCTTACAAGTTTGTACAAACTCAGAGAGCTCTGCATAGAAGACAAGAAGGCCCATTCAGCACCTTACGTGCCTCTCAAGCCCCCGCCATGCCTGCTTGATACAAACCCCACAGACTGCACTGGGGCCTGGGCAGCATCATGCAGAAAAAAGGTGAAAATGTCTTTGTTTTCCCCTGAAATGAAGAACAGTACCTTGCTAGCAGGGGTCATGACATCAAGGTGCAAGTCTACTTGCAAACCCAACGATCTTTCACTTGTGATCTCAGCTCAGCCAGAGCAATGAAATTTGTTAGTTCCATCTTTGGCTTAATTAGATTAGTTTCTTCTTCAGGAAAAAAAAAAAAAAAGTCAAGCTGTAACTCTAGGAAAGCACGAGGGAATACTCAGCACCAGAACAACAACAGTGGCAAGGCTCCCTTGCTGATGTTATAATTACAGAAGTGAATTAAGGGCATTCTGCATCTAAATACTCACATACATGAAGCTCAATACAGACTCTGGGAAGATGGAAAGGATCACCCAAACTCTTTGTAAAACACTAAGTTGTTGAAAGCTTCAGCCCAGCAGACTTTTTAAACACTTTAATAACAGGAGTATAAACAGTTTCTGTTCATACAGGTTGATCCCTGCAGATTGACTGCACTCAGGATCCCCACAGGACTGTGCCACAAACCATTCAGGGCCTACATTCTTTTCATAAGGATCTGCAAGTTTTATACAGTAAAAAATAGATATTATGTTCTTTTTCCAAATGTTACAATCTGCATTTGAAGGAACAACACTTAGTATCCCAGGAATCTTCTATGCTTTCCCTGCAGTAAATGTTATTTAATCCTAACCTGACAGCATCTCTTTTAATACATAATATTACGCCTTTTTTTTTAACCAAAACAGCAATATTAGAGCTCCAAAATACCCTGCCTGTGCCAAGCCAGCTCCTCATGTGCCATAGTGGATCATCCTGGAACACTGTGGTGGGCAGCAGTCAATGCTGACATGAGGGAGAAAAGTAAATCTGCGTCTCAACTTCCCGAACTGGAGCAGAAAGCCTGGCTACACCACACCCACAGGGATTCTGTCCGCCTCAGTTCCGAGTTTCCATCTTCTCAACCCCCACCCCTACACTTCAATGAGAACATTCCCCTCTCAGAGGACACTGAAAGCATGGTTACCTTTCGGGAGGCGCGCTGTCCGTGTTGCTGCTGTGCCGCCTCTGCATCTTCCTCAGCACCCTGAAACACAGCACGCTCAACATCAACGGCGCGGGGCGGCAGATCCCAGGGTGCCTACTGAGACGGGCCCTCGGGGCCAGGGGGCTGTGGGTGCCACCCAGCTGGGCACATGGCTGGCACGAAGCACCTCCCGCCGCGGCAGAGCCCCTCCGGCTGCCAGCTGTGGCTCAGCCCGCTCGCGCAGAAAGGGCTCTGAAGTGGAAAGACACAGCACAATGGGGCTCCAGCAGGGCAGGAACGAGGCAGGTCCCCTTCAGCAGGATAGGGCGGTCACGAGGAGCGTCCAGCTGTGTGATGGCACCTCCTGGGAAACACCTTGAGGACGTCTAACAGGGTGGCTGCTGATGTGACACGCCACTCATCGCTCCTGGGGAGTGAAGCCCCTTCTTGCTCTTCTGCAGAAGCCTCGTTTGTAAAACTGAGAGGGAGGAAAAAAGCAAATGTATAAACGTCTTTGATGAAAAAATATAACCAGGTCATGACAATATTCTTTTAAACAACTCTCCTAACTACAAAGTGTTTACCTTGTAACTCCCAGCAGCTTTTTAATCTCTTGCTACATGTTTTAGCTTGTGCTGCATTTTCATGGCCTAAACTGTTTTTATAAGGATCTGCAAGTTTTATCCGTAAAAAAGAGATTTATGGTTTTTTCCCAACTGTTAAAACCTGCATTTGAGGTAACAAGGTTTAGTATTCCAGTAATCTTTTATATGCTTTCCCTGCAGTACTCCCACCCTGACAATCTCTCTGTTGACTTGATATATAATATTATACTCTTTTTTTAACCAAAACAGCAATCAAGGTGAGATGAACAGGCCAAGACAGGCTGGCCCATGCAAACAGAGCTGTCCTGCCTGGGAACAACTCTGAGGTCACTGCTTATCAAAAACATCTGTCCATCTTCCCATGCTACAAGCTGAGAGCCAGAGCCAGTGCAGAGGTAACTCTGGCACCTGTCAAATCCTTCATGCCCTTCCAAACCATTAGAAATCTGGACTGTGATGTGGGGTGACATCACTCTGCACAAGGACATTCAGCTCCCTTGGGAGACACTTTCTCTTTTGGCATCAGCCATGAAGGGGACAGTGACATGAATGCCAAGCACTGAAGGTGCAGGACATCATGAGATGTGATGGTCTGTTCTGCCCAGAGCCCTACAGGTTGGATCAGATTGAGATGGCCTTTGTTCCAAAAGGGACTCAGCTTCAGTACTGACTGGTCCTGCTTTTTCCAGATTAGGGATTTTCATCTTGCTGCACTTGGCCATTTTTTAACAGTACCTGAACAACAGCTTTATCCAGAGGTGCCAGGTGCCACTGTGGGAGAGATGGAAGCTCAAGAGGGTGCAGACAGCTCATACACAGTCCAAGCTGCTCCAGATTTCAAACTCATCACAGGTCCCTCGAGCTGGATGACTGCAGTGCCCCTGGCTGCCAGTGCTCACAGCACATCTGTAAGAAGCACATGCCCAGGGTCATTTTCACCACAGCACAGACACCATACACACACATACATCTTAGAATGTGTATCACACATGTATATCGCAGTTTATATTCATATATATATATCCATATTTATATCCATATATCTAAACACACACAACTATACATCTATCTCTACATATCCATATCCATATCTATACATAAACCTAGAGGTATATATACACACACCTATGTATACACATATATATGCACATATAAGTACAGTTCTATACATACAAACATGTATACATATACACTTATACGCACATATATACTTATATATATATCTCACATATTATATTACACACCTATATTATACACATATACATAGATATTTTGTATACATCTATACATGTATACATACATACATATTATGCATATAACATACATATGCATATATATGTATGCACATATGTGTATATATTACATATACGTATTTATTATATATATTATACATATATATTACACATACATATATACAGTTATATACACATTTGTGTTTATATACATAGATACATATACACATTTATATTTACATATCTATCTGTAGATATATATACATCTCTCTAGATATATATACATCTATATATACACCTCTCTGCATACATAGATATATATATATACACACATTTATATCTATCTATAGATATATAGATAGATCTATAAATACAGTTCGATGCATACACACACATATCTATGTACACGCACACGCACAGTCATGAACGAGGCCTTTTTCCCCAATTAATCCGATTCCCGCTGGCATACGCGGCGCAGTGCCCAGCGCGGAGGGAGCCGGCCCTGCCCGGCCCGGCCCGGGAGGTGCCCCCGTACCCACCGCTCCCGGTGCCGATCCCGATCCCGCTCCCGCTCCCGGCGCCGCTCCCGGTCCCGCCCCGCGCACGCCCGGCCGCGGCTTCCGCCTCGTTCCCGGTGCCGGCGGAAGCGCTCGGGCCGCGCCGGGGCCGCCGCTGCCGCTGCCGCTGCCGGGGCCAGCCGGGGATGCGGGTGCCGGGCGGTCCCCGGCGCAGCTGAGCCCCCGGCCCGCCATGCTGCCCTGCGGGGCCGTGCTGTGGCGGCGGCTGCTCAGGAAGCGCTGGGTCCTCGGCCTCGTGTTCGGGCTCTCGCTCGTTTACTTCATCACCAGCACCTTCAAGCAGGTCAGTGCGCGGCGGGCCCGGCCCCGGCGCGGCTGGGGGGGGAACAGCGACCCTTCGACCACGGGCACTGTGGTTCTTTACCTGCTGACACTGATCTGAGTGATGCTGCCGTAAGAGCTACATCGTAATTATTAAATACGCACGAGAGTTTAAAATAGTAATGCCTGATACTGTGCTCGACAGCAACAGTGTTTTGAACCGAAACTGGAAAAAAAAAAAACACAAACCAAACACCTCGGAGGGACTGTTGTTGTTGAATTGTTGTGTGTTGTTGCTTGTTGATGTTTTTGTGTAGCGTTGGTGGTGGTTGTATCTCTTGTGAGCGGTATTGCCACTAGCAAAGGACTCACCAAAGAGACTTATGTGCAGCTGTGGTAATTTAAGATAATTTATACCACTTTTGTGGTTGCAGTGACCAAGTTCAGCTGTGTTGGCTGATCCCTCGGTGAATTTACACGCCCCTGTTGTACTGGGTGGCGTATCTTCCTGTGTATTGCACAAAGTAAGCTACTACGAGTAGTATGTTGGTAACTCCACTGGTGCTGGAGTTTGCTGTGCTGTGGAGTTTACAATTACGAGGCATTTCTAATTGTGGCAAGAGCACGTGGATTGAAGTGGCAGAAGGAACTCTGGTTGCCTGACTGTCTTTCCTTGCAGGAAGAGAGGATGGTGAGAGATCGGAATCTCCTCCAAGTGCAGGAGCACGAGCAGCCCATCCTGTGGAAGGTGAAGTTCAGCCCGGGCAACGGCAGCCAGCTGAGTAACCAGTGCAGGAATTCTGTGCAGGGGAAGCTCCTCATTACAGATGAACTGGGTATATTTGATACTAAGACTTTATTCTGCAAGTGGCAGTGCTGAACGCTGCTTTGCCTGTCTGTGGCACTTCCAAGTAACAACTGCTCTTTATTAAGGCGGTTTTTTTTTTTACTTAGCCGTTGGCATTTTCTCCCCCAGCTGGGTGAATTTCTCTGTGGGTGCACATAGAGTGGTTTGGTTCTGTGCAGGCTCAGCTCAGGCACAGGGTGTTATGAGTGTGGCTGTGCTGTTCCCAGGGCCACCTCAGAGTCAAAGAATCCCACTTATCCTTGCCCAGAACACACACATTGAGTCCTGCTCCATTTACTGCGATTGCTTGCAGAGCTGTTGGTGTCTCCCTGCAGTGTTCCTACTGTCAGAGGTGTTAGGGAGAGTAATTGAGGAAACCCTACTGGCCTTGTAGGGAGGCAGCTCAGGACATGTGTAATTAGTGCTCAGTCACAGTTAACAAGCTCATCTGACCCTTAAAACCCAAGGATATTAACCACTTGTTTTAAGTGTTAGAAGTTAAAGATCCATTTCTTGCCCTACACAGGTGCTTCCCTGCTGTGCTTGTTGCTCAGGCAATTAATCTTTCTTGACCAGAAATCAAGGCTGTAGAAAACCCACCACATCTTTTCTGTGATTTGCATCAGTGTTAAATTTGGCACTGCCTGAATTATGCTTGGTGCCAGTTCCTGAAGTCTCCAGAAATTACAGCTCTTTCTCACAGTCTGACACTGTGGTGGGAGTTTCCATAAGGACATACACATGGTTCTGTGCTGCTGATGGTTCCCCACTCAGCCATGAGTGTTACAGCTGTCCTGCATGGACAAATCTAAGTCCCTTCATACTGAACTGTAAGGAGTGTTATCCAGACACTGCTGAAAGAACACGTGTCACAGTGTTTTCTCCAGTACAGTCATCACCAATCCCCTGCCCCTTATGCCAAAAAGAAATCAGAACTTAAAAATTCTGCATTTAAACACTCACAGTGTACATACAGCACTTATCAGAGTAGGTACATAATAGCTGTGCAGATTACACCAGGCTGTTTGAAACGTCCAATTGTCACTGCAAAGAACTGCTACTGCCAGGCAGAGGGGGATCATAACCTACTAACTGATAAATAAACCTGTTCTTAAGTAACGTGACTCCTACTGTGGATTCAAGGGGTATGTCTTGCCGTTGTTACTCCTGCTGTTGTTGCCAGGGTACATCTGTGAGAGGAAGGACCTGCTGGTGAATGGCTGCTGTGATGTGCACGTGCCCAGCACGAAGCTGTTCAGCTGTGAGAGCTGCCTGCCCAACGGCTGCTGCAGCGTCTACGAGTACTGCGTGTCCTGCTGCCTCCAGCCCAGCAAGGTGAAGGGACCTCCTCCCGCTCTTCAGGTTCCTCTGTGCCTAAAAGTGCTGCTCTGTGAGGAGCTTTTTCCCTTAGAGGGGACAGTTCCTTCTCTTGGAAGGACGAGGAAAGCCTGCAGGGACCATCTGGCAAGCTGTAAATAAAGCTTTAACAAAATTCATCCTTCCCACCTCCGAGGGGAAATACTGGGGGCCTTGCAAAGTGTTTCGGCTTCGGGGCGGTTGCATTTGCTGGAGGGAAATTATTACAGAAAAAGCTATTCCAGTTTTGTAATTGGCACTTCATCCTGTATCCTGTGAGGTTTCTCTTCCTACTGCTGGGGTTTGTGAGGGATAGGCCTTTCAGTGCTAGAAGTCCTAAGTGGAGCTGCTTACTCCTCCTCTGACACCCGAGTTGTTTAGGTGAGGGTGGGCTTTGGTCACTCCTTATTGAAGGACAGCACTGTTTTGTCTTTTTTTGCTGACTGCTTTAGCAACACCTCCTGGAGCGTTTCCTGAACCGGGCAGCCATTGCTTTCCAAAACCTCTTCATGGCAGTGGAGGATCACTTTGAGCTGTGCCTGGCCAAATGTAGGACTTCATCACAGGTAGGGCACAAGGAGGTGTCCAGGGCCCAGAGAAGTGCCCTTGAAAAATGAGTTTGGTCCTGTGTGTCGTGTTTGTACATCCACGGGTGTGTTCATAAACGCTGGAGCTGTGGCTGGGAGCTCATCTGCAGGCAAAGTGCATGTTCAGAGCAGGACGAGTTGCACACTTGCTTCAGGAAAGAGGTGCTTAACTAAAAAGAGTTCAGTGACCAGAGAAGATCTTGGGTGAGTTCTTAGGGACATCTAGTAAGGATGAGAACAGTGAGAGCTGTTTCCAGTAGCTTCAGAATGCTATTTATTTTCTGGTACAGTTGGAGAGTTACCATATGCTGACATGTGTTTGTTTAAGAGCAGAGGTGAACTTCTGTTACCCGTGTGATTTTATTGAGAATTAATTTTGGTCTAAGCAAGCATTGGCCCTCTTAGAAAGTGCTGCTGGTGATCTTATGCAGCTTGAGTATTTAATGTAGCAATAGGGATGGGCTGCAGACAAAGGATATAGTTCCAAATGTCTCCAAAGCTGGTTTTTGGGGGGTTTTAACCGTAGTATCTGAACTCTAGCTTTATCAAGAAAAATGCACACATCTCAGTTGGCAACTTTATTGTGCCTTGCTTGCTTTAGGACACTTGGTGATACTGCCTAAGCATATATATATATATATATACGTATTTATATATTTATTGAATCTATTCTCACTTACTTGAGTAGTCTCCTGAAAAGGAGGTTCTGGGTATGGTGCAACATTAAAGTGCTGTAATTTAGCAACTGTCTCTTGTATGTTGGGAATACAGAGTTGTCTGACTCCAGGTGGTAACACCAATGTGTAGAAGAATTTGGGAAGTCAGTGCTGTGGGTTCTGGCCCTGGGTGAAGGGATGTGTGTGTGTGTGTTGTTACAGCTTCTCCTCCTCTCCCTGGCAGAGTGTGCAGCATGAGAACACCTACAGAGACCCGATTGCCAAATACTGCTATGGTGAATATCCCCCCGAGCTCCTGCCTGTTTGACAGCTGGGTGATCTGAGCACCAGAGGGAAGGAACTGGACACTGGAAGCCAAAGGAACAAGAGCCCAGCTGTTGCTTTACGAGAGCCTCAGTGCAGATGGCTTGTGTTGCATGTGGGGGCAAAGCCAGAGGGCTCAGAGTGAGCAAGGAACTCCAGTTCCCTGGGACTGAATCTTGCTTTCTTCACTTTGTGATGCACCTGTGCTAGTACTGGCCTACAGTACCAGGGCATTCTCAGAGCATTCCCTCTGTATTTTGGCATCTAGGCTGTAAAACACCATGGGAAGAATATCTAATGTGGCTTTGCAGCTGTAAACGGAGGTTCAGTTGTGTCTCTGCAGTCCAGAGACTTTCCAGAGAGACAGTAATAATTGAAGGATTTCTGCTTTTAGAGAGCAAAGCACGCTTTGCTTCTCTCTCTGGAACCCCTCTTGACATGCATGGTGTACACTACATGTGTAATTATGAATTATTTATTCATTTTATATGGATTACTAGCTGAAAGTATCGATGCTTTGCATAGCTAGTTGTTGATGCCTTTTAGTCCCTGTTTTGCTATGTCAGCTAGAAAGGATGTTTTAGATCCTGACAAAAGTTGGTTGGTTTTTCTTCCTCCTTAGTCTAAAGGAACTGTACTGGGATTTGTCACTGTAGTGCTTATGTTCCTCTTAGTGTGTTTAAAGCATTCAGAACTCCAATGGAGTTGTTATTCTGTCAAAGTCCTGTAGCACCAGAGAAGAGCAGGGATCTGCCTAGGATGGGATGTTTGTTAGTTGTAAATACTTCCCTTGTTACTCTGCAGCAGTTTCCTCAAAGAGGAGTCTTAGTGTTGTGACCAGCTCTCTGCTGGTCCCCTTGCTGACAGGGGACACTGCAGAGTCGTTTGCTCGAACTTGGTAATTCAAACGTTCTTCACTCCTGGTTGTGCAGGAGGCAGGAGGGTGGAGCTGTTCTGGGACTTCAGTTTCATGATGTCCTGGTGCAGGAAGTAATCAGAACGTCAGAACGTGCCCTCTGAGGACAACTGTGTTGCATGAGCTCAGCTGAACAGTCAGAATGTTTTTAATTTGCTGTTTGACACACTTGCTGCTCTGGAGTTTTGGTCTGATCAGAATGGCACTAGCCCAGGGTTGGTTCTCCCACAATTTCTCCTGGCTCCCTAAAGTTTAAATTGTCTCCCTCTAAAGGCCAAACAACACAGAACAGATGGGTAGAGAACCAGGAAAATGCTGAGTAAATTTGTGCTCCCCCTGCAAGTGACGGGGCAAAGTCCAAGCACTACACTGAACTGGCTTGTTCTTTTCTATAAAGAGACTAATTTCTCTTATTTTTACCCCATCCTCATGATTTTGACTTTGTGTATTCTTGCTTGAACTGCACTAAATAAATAAATAAATAAAAATGTAGATGGGAATCTAGAGAGGCTTTAAAGAAAGAAAAAACAAACTCAAAACCCAAGCACGGTGGTGGAATATCCTGGTGCAAAAGATCTGTAGAACGCTATGCAATTACACATGACATAAACAAGCAGTACCACCATCACATCCATTTGCGTTGTTTTCACTGTTCTTCCCCACAAGTCATCACGTGAAATAAGAGTCCCATCAGCAGTTTCTCGTGGCAGTCTCGTTTTCCCCCAAGCTCAGGAGCTGTGGCATCAGCCGTTTGTGCAGTTTATCCCTTTGCTGCCATCCTGTGGCACGCAGGCAGCGCGCGGTGCGAGGCTGCAGTGTGGGATCCTGCCTTCAGAGGGTGGCAGAGGTCGCTTCTCCTCTCGGTGTTAGGCACGTTCTTCACCCCTTCCCGGCATTCCATAACCGTTTTCCTCAGGGAAGGCCGTGGGGTCGGTCTGTCAGACCGTTCCTGCTGAGATGCATTCCAGCACTTCGTGTGATTGCACCACGACTGACGAGGCCGAGATACCGACGGCCTGCTCTTGCTTGCTTTTCCAACTTGATATTCGTTCCTTAGCAGGTGATACCACTGCTTGAAGCAGTAATTGTAAGAAATCGTCAGGACCAGCCTAATTTGGACGATGTTTGTGAGAATTCCTAGCCCTTTTCTCGCCTAGAAAAACAGGATGAGATCAGAAGTGCATTGTGACCACTGTCAATGGCACAGAAACTGCATCCTCCCTCCCTAGTTGTTGAGCTGTTCAACTAGTACCTGTAGTAGATGTTAAATCATTAAAATGTTCCCAAATACTGCCTGTTCTCATGTCTTTCCTTGAATTACAAAGCAACTCTACCAAAATGTAAGGCTGGAGAATGCAGTGGAGCAGAGAGGGACACTTACTGGAATATCTATAATAAAACAGCAAGTAGAGGTCAAAAGGAAATCTGTTTCATTTTAATCTAAGACAATCTATCAATGATTAATAAAAAGATCAGACCCTCTGCAAAAGTGGACTGAGCAGGGAAAGGAATGCAAATGATTGCTTCATGTGGGGAAGATTCAGTTAGACATGTGAAATCTGTGCTTCCTGATAATAGTTGTGCGTGGTTTGAGTGGTGTCCATCCCTGTTGCAGAAAGCCCGATGATTCTGTGGTTGTCTGACATCTCATTTCTACTTGTCAGCTACGAGACTGGGGTTGTGGATGTGTGTTTGGCAGCAGGTTTAATGAGAACACCTGATGGAGCCCCTGGCTCTGCTTATCTGCACTGAGGTCCCTGCTGGGGATAACTGGGTGGGTTCTGTGCTTTTTCATTTCTGTGGTTTGCAGGAATATTAATGCTAGTGGAAAATGGTGGCGGCTGCCATGTAATGATGCAGGTACAGGATTTAGTTGTACCAATTTGGAACCTGATTTTTGCAGAAGGGGAAGGTGCTAACTGCCATCTCTGCCAAGTTTAAACCTGAGCCGTTGGCCTGGACAGAACCTGCTGTTCTGCTCCCCTGGGATGGTACATGGAGAACTGGGTAAAAATCCTTCCTGTGGTGGGCTGGAGCTCTGAAATGGCAAATGCAGACCTCTGACTCGAGGCCATCACTGAACAGTTGATGAGTAGGGATAATGGTTTCTGTATTCTCAGACTCATTCATGTGGTGGCAGTTCTTTACCTCCTGTACGTGTTCAGGCTCTGATTGCTTGGAGAACTTCCTAAAAAACTATATTAGGAGTCAATTTGTGAATATAAAGCACCATGTACAGCAAATCTTAACTATGAGTCTTTGATATGATCCACTTTTAGAAAGCAAATCCTTTCTTACTTCCCTTGTCATTTAGCTGGACAGGCTTGAGCTTTAGGATTTGTTCAGTCTTGTGGTAGTCACTTAACTGCAAACACACTCGAGCCTTTTACCAAACACCATAATGTGATATTTGTTCTTGGGTTATTCTAGTCAAGGAGAGGTGGGGGAGGAGGTGAAAAGGAATTTTCTAACTCAGCAAGTTCCACAAAAGATGGAGTTCAGCAAATTATCGGTGCTTTAATAACAGCCCTCTTGCATTTCTTTACAACCTGAGGCAAACAACTAACTATATGCAGAGGGGGAAAAATGCCAACTTCAAAACCTGCAGGGAATGATGGGAAAGTACTTAGTTCTTCATTTTTTGATCCGTGTCTAATTAAACAGACAGTTCTATCTAATATTTTTGGTCCATTAAGGTCTGACTTGTAACAACATGCAGGTTGTCTTCGTGATGGTTTTCATTCTGAGGCAGTCCTATGGCCACAGGTTTTTCTCAGAAATCAGGGGTTTTAGCAGATTAGAAGTGTATGTCTTAAGCAAGAATTCTCAGGATAGCTTCAGATTGAAGCATGTTTGTTGCTGTGGTCTGCTGTTTCGCCTGTGGTAAAATAACACAAAGTTGCAGAGTAGAGAAAATGAAGAAATTCATTCTGGCTGAAATCTTGCCTTGCAGAAGCTTTTCTATTATGTGTTTCAATTAAGGGGATAGAAGACCACAAGCTATAGTTGCAAATGGAATGGGAGGCAATTGTTAGGCTTTTCCATAGATGAGATGACAATTAATCTGTTTCTACTGTTAATAGTTGAAATGAAGACTAGCACCTGATTTCTTGCCAGTTTAATGGAAGCTTCTAATAAAATGCAGCTCTCATTTATCCTGTATGTTTTCCATCTCTGCATGCACCTACTGAGCAAGGCACAATAATAGGAGTCAAGGTAAAATGGAATCATGTATCAGTTTGCCTGCGTTTTGTTCCTGTCCTGGCCAAAACCTGTTTGGATTTTAAACTCCTCAGAGCAAAAAGACAACTCAACATTTGTAGTTCCTACAAGTTCTGGCCTCACATGGAGCCTTTAATGTATCTATTGATATGAACGGTACCTGTCTTGCACAGATATGAAATATCACTATTGGAAGAAGTGGGATAAGGATGGGTATAAGCCACGAGTGTGACATTTTTGTTTAAACACTAAAAGAAAAGTAGCATTACTGACACTATCATACGCATAAACTGCATCCCTCAGCTCTGTCAGACAACACTCACTGTGCTGTATCTACATCTTCAAACAGAAAAATGTAGATTAGCTGCAAACTGCAGTTACAGACCTGCTTGGTAATAAAAGCTGTGCTGTCTGAGGAAATAAACGTGTTCATACTTGGATGAGCAGGGCCCTAATTTATCTAAATCCCCGATGCCTTAAAAATACACATTCAATTAAAAAATTCCAATCCTCTGGAGTAGCAAATGCATACAAAAGTATGAGTAAGCAAATGTAATGTACCTCTTCTGATGCCTTTTTGTCTGCTCAACTACAAGCTTACCTCTAGTAGCATCTGAGCCGCTGTAGCAACGAGGATCTGCCAGCAGAGGTTACCACAGCCTTTGGATAAATGCTGGTCCTCCTCTCCATGGAGCTGGGCTGGCAGAGGGCCTCGGGAGCTGGATTTCACTTGGCAAAAGGCAGGCAAACCTACGGGTACAGAACACGACTCATTGCATTGCTCCAGGAAAAAGCGTGGAGTGTCTGTCTGGAATTCCGCCTGCAGCTTTGGCCTGGCCACCTAAACCTAGAAAATAAACTTACCTGCCTGGGTTTTAATCTACTGGTGATCATGGGTGCTAGTGTGGGAAAAGAGACATGATACCTGGGCAGCCTCGTTGATAACTGTTGTGTAATAAAAATAACAACTTGGCCCTAGGGAGGCCACAACTGGAGTACTGTGTTTAATTCTGGGCTCCGCAGTTCAAGAAAGACAAAGAGCTACTGGAGAGGGTACAGTGGAGGCCACAAGGATGATGAGGGGCTTGGAACATCTCCCTTATGAGGAGAGGCTGTGAGAGCTGGCCCTGGTTAGTGTGGAGAAGACTGAGCGGGCACCTCATTAATCCATACAAATATCCCCAAGGAAGTGTCAGAGGATGGTGCCAGGCTATCTTCAATGGTTCTCAGCAACAAGGAACAATGGCCATAAACTAAACCACAAGAAGTTTCACCTCAACATGTGGAAGAACTTCTTTCCCTTGAGGGTGGCAGAGCCCTGGCACAGCTACTCAGGGAGGGTGCGGAGTCTCCCTCTCTGGAGACATCCCAAACCCACCTGGACGTGTCACCTGCTCCAGGTGACCCTGCCTGGGCAGAGGGGTTGGGCTGAATGACCTCCAGAGGTCCCTTCCAACCCTAACTATTCTGAGATTCTGTGAACTACAAGAATAATAGCAAAATAATAATAATAATAATAATAATAGTAATACCTCTGACCTGCACAGTAGGCGTAGAAATCAGATGATCTGCCCAGCTGCTGCTGTGTGGGAGCCTGGCACGATGGCTCTCCTCGTGCTACAGGTGAGGCAGTGACAGAGGCTCTTCCCCTGAGGGAACGGCTCTGCCCTCGGGGCCGGGGGTCCCTGAAGGCCCACGCAGACCCTGAAGGTACCGGATGACCCTGAAAGTACAGGAAGACCCTGAAGCCACGGGATGACCCCTCTCTCCTCCCTGTTCACGCCCTTTTCCCCTCACGCGCTCCCCGCCTCCATTACCGGCCCCGAGGCGGCCGCTGTGGTGACGAGCCGGGCCCGGGACGAAGCTCTCGGACAGGACGAAGCGCTGTGCCCCTCAGACCGCTGTCCTGCGGCTCACGGAGCTCCGTGACCGTGCCTGGACCGCGGCCATCGACCGGAGCGTCCCCTGCCCCGCCGGATGAGCGGAGGTGAGGCTGAGAGGGGCGGCGGCCGAGCTGCCTTGTCTCTGTCTTGTCTCTGTCCCAGCTGTAAGTTCTGGTCACACTTCCCCCGACCGACTGCAGCCCGATGACCCCGCAGCGCGGTTCATGTTTGGTTAAAAGGCCGTATTTTAACGTGTATTTAAGTGTTGCCCCCCGCGCTGGCCTGTGGTGTCCCGCAGCCCCCGGCCGTGTGGGGTGTCAGACCCAGCCCTGCCCTCAGGGATGGGCTCGGACCCTCAGTGGTGTGACTTTGCTTTTTTGACCTCCAACCACCCCTAAACCGGCTTTTATTTTACCCGCATTCAGCTCACTGAATGCTCTTGTTTCTCGAATTTATTTTTTTTTTCTCTCCTTTCCTCAGGCCCCTCTGTCTGTTCTCCCTTCCCCTGCTTTGCCTTGGCTCTGTCTCAGCTGTAGTTACTGAAGGTTGAAATAGGATAGTGGGACTTCTGCATCCTGGAGGAAAGGTTGTGGTTTTTTTTAAGTAAAGATGATATTCTTTTTCTTTCCCTCTCCTAAATTTCTCTTCACCACCATTTTAATCTGGTGCCACCTGTAGCTTTCCAGTGTCTCAGTCCACCTTTGCTTTGTGTATTATTTATGCAAAATTTCAGTGTCGTGGTTGCAGTGTGTGTTAAAGGCACACCAGTCTGAGGTTTTGGGGGAGAAAAATATTGGTTTTCCACACCTGTGCTGTCAAAGTATGAATTTTCCCATTTATGTTGCGTTTGTCCCTAAAAAACTCAGACCTTGGACCTGGATCCCGCTAGGCAAGTGCATCTCAAAGATATGGGTTTTTTTCTTTGATAAGTACATATTTACATTTTCAGTTGCAAGCGTTCCCAATCTATTTGAAAGTTACTGAAAACCTCTAGGTTCCTGAAGAAAGCATTTGTCCTCATTCCAGTATCCTGGTCCGCTGCCAGCAGCAGATGAGGCTTGCTTGCAGGAGATAAATGACTTATGTAAAAGAAATCTGATGTGAACATTTATTGTGAAAGGTTTATATTTGGAAAGTAGACTTTTACTAATACCAAAGTTAAACTTTTTTTTTTTTTTGAGTAGTTA